TTGCTTTGTACTTGCAATTAAGATTCGTTGTACTTTTGCATCCACAACCTGAATACTTTCTTTGTTTTGTATATTTGCCACTCTTTAAGCAAGCGACGGTTCACTAGTGTCAGCTGATACCACGCCATGAACACCTGTCAAATTAGAAAAAAAAGAAAAGGCTTAGGAACTGAGTCAAATTTAGAAGGATTTGTATGGAGCATAGTTAATTGAGTGGAATGGTTATGAAACCCGTCAGACTCCTTTGTTATATGTTTTTGTGGACCTGAAAGTGCACAACGTTCAAAAGAATTCCTATCATTTTGATTGTATGGACCAATAAAAACGTTGCATTAATTTATTCCGTAACAATTTTCCAACAGAAAACAAAGGATTGTGCACTTTCAGGGTGCTTCCAACATAAACTGCAGCACTGTTGTTTTTATCATTGATGTTTGCCGCTTTTCATAACCAGTCTCCTCTAATAACTATGTATGGAGTAATGAGAGCAAAACGGGACAATTTTCTCCACAGTGCTAGTTTTGGGCAAGTAGGCCTTTCAGATGTTGTTCTCCAATAATTTCCATAATTTCACAATTTACATTTTTATGACGTAATCACTTTAGAACTCTGTTACTTGTGTAGTCAGCCAGATGGACGCTTATGAAATCGTAAAACATATATACTGGTATACAAGACACTACAAAGATGACAGCATGCGTTGTGGCGGGAAAAAGAAACAATGGAAAAGCGCGGGAAAACTGGTGGCACGACAGAGCAATGGAGAAAGGAGGTTCGCGCAAAGACTGATGGGCAATAACGCAACCAAAATTTGCTAGTTATGGATGGAAAAATGCGCATGGCAACTGTATCTTACAACTTTCGCAGGGAATCGCCAACGAGATTCACCGTAATCATGCCTTGACCTTTTTGGCAGGAGGCGGGGAGAGGACCTTTAGAGAATATTTTACCTCGGACAGCTGCTTTTTCTCTTCGTGTTTCATCATCATTTGAGAAACTCGTTTTCTTATCAGCTGATGACGCCATTTTGTCCAGAATTTTTCGTAGACACGTCGATCAACCTACCGAGAAACGAAATGAATGTAAAAGCTTAGGAGATAAGAGTATATCGTAATGTATACTGAGTAAAAGCGTTTTTCAATAAAAGAAAAGCGATTTGAAGTTATCACGTCACCAAGTCTCTAGGGATGAAGAAACATGTTGCCTAGAAACGGACCCATCGACAATTCAGGGTGTAGTCAATTTGCGCACGGTAAGTTTGAACTCAAAAGTTCGCATTTTCGATAACAGAGGACATAAACATCAGGAAATAAAAGGCTCTCACCAATTCAGTGGCGATAGTGTTTAGAGCGATTCTTTTCTTCCACATAGTGAAGTGTTTCACTACAATCCTCTTGTCCTTTTGTACGCTGTATAACTCAAGTTTGGTGTCGTGAAGCCAAGCTCGGAAGCACAATTTGCTAAGAAAAAGATAATAATGTCAAAAGTCAATATCAACAAAAAAAAAGTACGAAGGAAGTACTAATTAAGGGCACTAAGTTTACGCCTGCTACGGAGACGGGATCGCCACTTGACGTGGTCATCTAAGAAGCCCCCCCCCCCCCCCCCCC